GAGGAGCTGTCATCGGCATAGAGAGAGGCCTCAGGGCCATTGCTGCTTTCCAGGTAACAGGAGTGCTGGGGCTGCTGTTGGGAGTGCTGCGGCTGATCTGGATCCTGGTTCTGGTCGTCATCTTCATCATCATCCCTAGCTTGGTACTGAGAACAACCCGGTTGCTCAGAGTCTGCAGCTGCAACACATTCTCCACTATACTCAGCACTATACTGCCGACTAGTCTGGGACCGATGGTCTGCACTACTGTCGATGTAACTGCGTGAATGATGTGGCTGCTCTCCATCATCCACTGCACACTCAAGATACCCAGCGCTGCACTCCACCACATAGTGACCTCGACTGGTAGGGTTTGAGTCAGCCCCACTGCATTCCACGTATCCAGGCAGGTCCTGGTCACTGTTATCCCCGCTGTAATCAGGGAAGCCTGACTGGGAGCGTGTCTGGTCAGGCTCCTCACCTGAACACTCTACATAGGAAGATGAAGACTCCTCTGTCTGGTCTGGACCATCTGCACTGCAGTCCATGTACTGGGAGGGGTGGGAGTGCTGGGGCTGGTCAGGCTGACTGCTGCTGTCCTCTGGGTAACCTGAGTGTCCAGGCTGATCATCAGGCTGGTCGGGTTCAAGGTTGCCCTGCAGGTCTCCCTGGTCCAAACAGGTAGATGTGGGACCTTCAGCAAGAGCTTCTATGGCTATACGATCGGACAAGGCCGAAGATGACATCTGAGCTACCATAGGAGCACCTATAGCGGACAAATACATATAGATGAATTGTACATAGTTTATTGAAATAAGATTTTCATATCTCTATTCCCATACTTACTTGTGTGTCATCAACTTATGTGGATTTTAAATTACAAAAACTCACTAGAGGACTACAACAAAGTTGGTGCTGTAGATTCCTATCAAGTTGACATAGAAATATTAAATTATTTATTTGCTCTATAAATACATGCTGTATGAACATGGAGGTAATTTCCTCAGCATCATTAACTTTCAAAAACGTTTTGAAAGGGGCTGAAGAATTAATGTGTTAGTAGTAACAGTAGCACACTCACCATCATCTGGTCCTTGTAATATCAGATACTGGGTTGTTTCTGCACCCCCATCTTCTGCACTGGTAACAGATATGCAACCTAATAGAAAAGCATTAAACAGAATCAGATATCTGTTACTTTACTCTAAACTAATCAAAATGACACAACCTTAAAGCTGCTCAGCCTAAGACATAACAAAACATGGAGTAAAAGTGTAAATACCATTCATGATGTCGGGGCCGATGGTGGACTCTATGATTTTGTCAATGGCAGACCCCAGGTCTGACGAGGTAGAAGCAGTTGAGTCAGAAACCATCATGGCTCCTTCAGACACAGCGCTGGAGTGGACCAGCACTTGGGCTGACTCAGACACCAGCACTGACTGAGTCACTGTGGAGACGCTGGACACGCTGGTGGACTGGGCCACTGAGGACGAGTCTGGGAGGTGGACTGATGAAATTCTGACATCTGTACTGGAGCTGGTTTCTGGGATGAACACCTTGACAGGGAGGGGCAAGAACATGATGTCGTTATCATGAAACTTTTAGGACACAACATAGCTGCATATTGTTTTTTTGGTGGCTTAGTTGTATAACTGTTTTCTCCTACATATGTACAAAGCTTACCACAAGTCCCTCTGAGCTCTGTCCCACATGGCAGTCAGACTCTGGGGCCTGTGCATGAGATGCAGCAGCATCGCTGCTGTCTGCAGACATGGCCTCCGATGACTCCATACCCATGCCGCTTTCAGATGGCTCCTCCATCCCTGAGGGGCCTGCATCACTGCTGCTCTCCACCTCATTCTCCTCCGAATCCATAACTATCCACAAAAATTTAACATAAACTCAATATCAAATTTTAAGTGCATGCTGTACTTAAAGCATGCCTGGAAAGCCATTACTGCAAGTTCATTGTGTTAAAATTAATGCAGCTCATATCATCATGCACCATATGTAGTTCCTTTGTTGCTTACCCTAGGACACCGCTGTTTGTCATGAGTGTCAAGAGTGTTTGCACAACATAAGATATTTTATTGTCCCAGCTAAGCTATCAAAATAGAACTAGATAGAGCTAGATATACTATAGAAAAGTATAGAATGACTTCTAACAAAACTTCAAAGCCTCAAGACCTGCAGAGATCCTCGATGGCAGAAGACTGTCCAACTTTCTCGACTATGATGATATAGAGGATGCTGAATATGGCAAACAGTAACTTGAGTAATCAAGGAGAAACTTGCTATTGAACATAATATTCTATTTCTGAAGGTTATCATACAGTGTATGTTGCGTATCTATAATTAATTCTGAGAGACAGAGCAACCAACTGGAAATGAAATATTAGTTTTTGTGGTTTATTGTGGCTTTCAATGTCACTTTCAAGTCACTTTGATGTTTGTGTATCCTTTTGAGGTCTTTTATGTTGATTACGTTGTAACAATGATTTGTATCAGGGTTAGTAGGAATGTAAAGCCCTTCATACCAGTGGCCTACATATGGAAACAAAGTTACAGTCCAAAGGTAGACGGTAAAATGTAAATTATTTTAAGGTAACCTTCAACAGTGTTGATGTAACATTTTCATTTCTCTTTTCATGTTGTGAAACATTACACTTTTAATTCACTATATCTAACGGCTGTGAATGCATCTTATGCTCCAGGGTATTTCATCCATAGCAGTTTTCTTATACCACGTTCAACAAAGGATATTGAGTTCATCATCCATCACTTAATGGTAAGTGACAGTGTAAGTGTGTGTTTGTTTCGGAAACTTAGACACAGGTTTGCATAAGTAACGTCAGCACTAATACCTGTCGTGTCTACACGACTAGCTGTATGAATCCTCTCAAGGACGTAAATGTTGGTATGAATTAAATCTTTCTATCCTGGGTAAGAAAAGCTAACGTTTTCCCCTTGATTACACTTAAACCATGAGCATCGGTTAAGTTATTTAGAAACTTGATGCCATGGGAACTAACGTTTTCTCCAGAGGAACCTGAACAGCTAACATTAGCTTTTAGCTGGCTGACCAGCTTTGTTTTCATGTCACTATCGTGTTTTACAGAGCTGCAATACATATATAAAACGTCTCCCAGTCTTGATGTTATAGTTTGGTAGGTTGAATAGAATAACAGAGTGGAATGAAGAGGATGTCATCGGTCTAAGCAAGTCGACATTTCGGCCGTAACAGCCTCCAGGACGGCATGTGCTAGCCGATTTAAACGGGCCTAGCTGCCCTTCACCCTGCCTGCTCCGCGTCGCCATTTTACACCAGGCAGCCCCTTTTACACTCAGGCATTCTGAGAGCTCTACTGGGGACCTCGAGGGCCTCAGCTGCGGCAGACCGCCCAAATGCTCTCCCTGAAGAAAATGAAAATATTTTCCTTCACCGGCACTACAATCTCCATGCTTTTTTCTTACCGTGTATTTTCGGGTAGCAAGGTGTCCTTTAGTGCAGAGGCGCTAAACAGAACAGAAATTAGTAACCGATAATTGTTGCCTCATTCTAGTCGGGCGCCATGAGTATCTCCTTGCTTCCTGTCCGTGCAACCGGATCTTATTTATTGTTTTTGTTGAAAAACTGACCGGTCGTCTAATCAAACATTCATATGACGACCAATTTTGACAATATGTATTTACCGATAGTTTTGTCGTTATATATTGGTCCAAATATTCGGTAAATTAGATGTTTATAAACATTTAGTGGACTATTGTTTTTAGAGGAAGGCGTATTACGCAACTGGGTGCGGAGTGATATACATCCGCTTGTCTCAAGAGACTGAGGCGCCGTTCAAACTTTAAATCATCGATATAACTAAAGCCATTAAATTATATTTCTATCACGCAGGCCTGTGCTTTATACACGTGCATTTTTGGTCTCAAAATTCACAGCGTAATTTCATTACATGAATCAGGTACCAATAATATACTTAGTGGTTCCTGTCGGTACTTCAGTGTATTCTGAATAGAAGAACAAGGGAGTGACAAGTCCTGATTTATTGCTGGACTTTAATTAGACTGCATTAGTTTTAGCTGGTGTACCTAATAAAACTGCCATCTAACTGTATAATACGGCCCATATATTGTATATTTTACTGTGTAATGGAAAATACAAATGACTTTCACTCATTAACTAACATTATTGGGATATGTAGGAGAAAACACTAAAAAGGGGGGCTCAGTTTACACACGTTTCTTCTGCGGACAGCTACACCCACACTCTAGGGTTTTAGTAATGTTTTCATAATTGTAAGATTTGAAATAAAATCAAATTAAGAAATGGGTCTTTAGCAGGCATGTTCATTCAGCAGCTCACAACAGGTTCACTGGAGAAGAAATGTAACACTTATGTCAATCAACTCTGAAAGCCTTCTACTGTCATCCAAGGAGGAAGAACTATAATCAAGTAATGTAATAATATAAGATACAGATGTACTGTAGGTGGATCAAACATGACAAATCCTTAATGAGGAACCTCATAATTATCAATTCTTTTGATTACACAATAAGAAAAAGGTATGTGGGCTGTAATGTGTGTGGGTGCTCCTCTTTTTATAACTTTAATTACACAGTAAGATGAGGTTGTTAACACCATCTTTGCCAAACAACAGTTTTGTTTGCTATCACTGAACCCCATATAGGTACCCAGTACCTACATATGTAGAGTATGATTTATGCCTGCAAAAATGTCCTGTTGTTAGTCCCTTGTTGCCCACAGTCATGTGTTCTTTCACTGTACCCACACTTAAGTACCAGTGGGATCCAGTAAGACTTTTACTAGTACCTGAATCATGCAATAAAATTACAATTTCTGGCTGTATTATGTGTAACCTCACTGCTGTGGGAGTGTGGATTGAAATGCTTAATAGTAGAGGATGTGGGTATGATAGTAATTTAAAAGTTCCATATACTATTTCAGTTCATACAGTACTTTCATGAATGAGTGAGACAGTGGAAATGACAGGTATAGTTCTCATGGAATGTTTATTGCATTTAAAGTTCAACCCTTAACACAAAACACATCAGTCTCATAAATAACTTAAGAGGAGACATGTATTGTCTTCCAGTGCAAGTAATAGGCTTTGAAGCCATTTCCAGAAATACACAAATAGAATTATACAAAACAAATAAGCTTTAGGACACAAAAATAATATAAGATACTGCTATAAATACCAAAATAATCTAATACTGTTAAGAGTCTGAACCTGTCAGACATAAAGAAATTGTTCAGCAAATCTGGAATCTGATCCAGACAGCTTTTGATAATATTTAAGTTCTGGTTATTGTCTCAAATTTTATGAATGATATCACATCAGTTCACAGATTATCAGACTGAGGGCAAGTCAGTACCAAAGATCACAATTTGCTTTCCTGTACTGGGCTGTTAAACTTATTTTTAGGCCAATGCTGTATGTTTTGGGATTTGCCAACAGCAATGATGGCCATTCATTTACATCCCAGAAAGCACGCGCATTATACAACAGGTGCTACACACAAATGCCACATCACATTCTCCCTGACACCCCGATTTCGAGCTCATCCTTGCACCTTCATCTCAGCCTTTAAGAGTTTGAGCACATGAGGAGGTCATATTTCACATAGCCGACACGGTCCACCTGCCTGCGGGAGTTCATACGCCAGTAGAAGCGGTCCCGGCAGAAGTAGATGTGACCTAAAGCAGAAATATTGAAGTTAATTAATTGAATGCAAGATGTAGATTATTACATGTGACTACCTGTTGCTATGGTTTTAGTTGATTTTGTTGCGTACATAAGTATTTGAAATCGACAGATCTATTTACCTCTGTACTGGAATACATCGTGAGCATCATTGGGGACGCCACCAAAGACGACGTCTGTATATCTGGGGTAACCATTGTCGATTTTCTGGGCCTTCACATCAAGCCTGTGTTGATCAGACACAAAACCATACCAGAAAATGTCATTTAAGATGTTAGAAACAATAAGTCGTCCTCCTCTTAAAGCACAGACTTTAATAATGTTGTAAAAATGCTTATTTTAACAGTAGGTTGACTGAGCAACCACAGTGGAGGGGTTTAACTGTCTTGTTAAAAGACCAAATAGGTCTTAAAGAAGAGCAGACATGGTTGAGGTTGAGCTGAAACTCTTGCAGCAAAACAATTCTTCCCAACCTGGTGCAGATTTTTCAGGGTGTAAATGCGTCGAAGGTGCAATTTTAACTCACCTCCAGAAGTTCTCCCCGCTGAAGAGCAGCACTTTACCTTTCCCCCTCTGCAGTGCTCCCTCTACCTTCTGAATGGTGTTGGGGAGGCCAAGCTTCTCTATGCTGCGGGGACCCAGAACACTCTGCCCTGTGTACACCCAGAAGCGGGCCCCTACGTATAGAAAAGAAAAATGATACCATGAAGCTCGTCTGCACTTCTAGTTTATGTGTTGATGGTCCTTTATGCAGCTACACTGTATGAAGCCTCTTTACCTGAGAAGAAGTACAGTTTCTTAGTCAGAAGGTCCTCAAAAGCAGAGTCAATGACTGCTGGCAGAGCTGGCCATCTCTCAGAAACAGACAATGGTCCCTGGAGTTTTCCGTCACTCCTGCTGGACATCTTCCAGTAATGTCTGTTGATCAGCACATAAAAATTAACACATCAACCAACACTGCTGGTTTTTGTTGATGTTGTCATTTTGGCTTGCGTTACAAAGAGGAATAGACTGATTTGCTCACCCATCCTTGAAGAAATGTAGTTCATTCTCAATCACAGTGATGGTGTCGAATTTGGTCAACTTGCAGGCATCTTTGGTCGGATCCACAGGCCGTGTGGTGGTAGTGGTGGAGGGTTCGGTGGGTCTAGGATCATCTGTGGGGTCAGTCTCCTCAGCGGTGGGCTTGGGTGGGGTGGGATCAGGGCCTGTTTTGGGTCCTGGGGAAGAAAAAAAAACAGTGATGGTTGAGAGAAATTGAAATACTGTATATTGATGTTTTTTTTTTTGTTGCTGTTTTTATAAGCATGTGAAAACTGAAATTACCATAGAGATACTGAATGCCTTCAACGTCGTCTTTGTTCAGGGAGAAGTCTTCCACATAGCTGTACATGGGGTACATGAGAGCGTCTCTAATGTTGGAGTGATCCAGGCCAAGGGCATGTCCAAACTCATGGGCTGCCACCAGAAACAGACTGTAACCTGGAACACATACAGTAAGGAATATTAAGGGTGTATTATATTATAGATACATATCTACAGCATTTTACCCACTCTGTTCTCTGAGTCTTATGTTTATGTTACTCACCCTTGTCAGGACAGAAACCCCATTTCTTGTCCTCATCATAGTTGTCAGTGGTACCGCACCACAACTTGCCATCTCCTCGTCCCTCGCTGGTGCAGGAGTCGTACTCCTTACCCAGGAACACAAAGGGGAAGTGGCAGGGCTCTCCCTCTGAATTTCCACCGATTACAGCGGTGTCTGGCCAAACAAAGATATAACAACCACAAGTAAGAATAGAAGCCGTTGTTACACCGCTCCACATTGTTTATGCATTGTGGTTCCTTTCACTCACCACGACTGGGACAGAATCCATATGCCTTGTCGTTGTCAAAGTTCTCTGTGGTGGCACACCAGCGGTAACCATCACTGCGGCCCTCTGTCGTACAGCCTTTGTACTCCTTCCCCAGAAAGACGAAGGGGAAAACACACTTAGCTCCGTTGGCGTTTCCTCCAAATGTGTACAGAACTGTCAGGATGAGAACCAGGGGCAAAGGATGAGGATCAGCGTGTCACAAAAAGCAAATGCCCGCATCTAGGTGACCCCTGACCTATGATTTCCCCAGGCGAATAAACTGTCAAGCTTACGTTCACTTGGGCAGAAGCCGTATTTCTGGTCTCTGCCGTAGTCAGCGGTGGTGGCGCACCATGGCAGGTTGTCTGTACGGCCCTCAGTGGTACAGGTGGTGTAGGATTTACCCTCGAAAGTGAAGGGGAAGTGACACATGGCGCCGTCCGCATTCCCATAGCTGGTCTTCACAGCTAAGGTGACGGAATGAAATGTATTCATTTAACCCAGTGTATAATTTGAACACTAGGGGGAGACAACTACACGTGAATTGTTGATAGGGGCATTAGTAAGTAAGGCTGATTACCTGGTCCTGTACCCAGGGTCCAGTACTCATCATCGTCAAAGTGGGCGTCTCCCTGAATACCCTCACCAGGGGGATAAGCGTGGGCCAGAAGGCCATCCTTACCATCAAATGGGTATGGGTCTCCGTGGTCTAAATTGATGATTAAATTGTTAGTTACAATTCAACTATGTGACATCTGTATGTACAAAACAAATGAAGTGACCACCATGCAAGCACATACCAGCTCTTCCAAATGAGATCATGATGTCAGCTGTTCCTTCAAAGAGTCGTGTAAAACTCAGGGGGGTCACATCACTCCACACCTTGAAGGCTCTGGCAAAGGCGTCATCAATCAGAGTGCTGTCCATGTCTGGAGAATAGTTAATGATCCTGTAGAGGAGAGCAGAATGACCCTTCCTTTAGACTTGTAACAATGTCAGTGATGATACTCGGTGATACATCTCCATCAGAGACTTGTATGTTGTCCCTTGCATTGCAAAGCTAATTATAGCATTATAATGTCATGATGGTTGATTCTTTCTCTCTACTCACCTGTAAGTGACGTCGTTATGGTCCCACTTGAGGTCTCCCTCAAAGGTTTGGTAGTTGGCCACATCAGGAACCCCGCAGCGAGGCCGTTTCATGGCCTCCAGGGTGGACTTGTCCAGCTGTCCAGTCTCCTCCAGCCCCATCTGCCTCTGCATTCTCATCACAGCCTTGGTGGTGGACACCATAGACTGGAAGCCGCTGCGGTGCACGGTGTCTAAGTAGCCAAACCTCTTCAGATAAGTCTGGAGGAGAACATAAACCACATTAGTGAGTCTAGTCCAGGTAGACGAGGAGCAGGCTAGAGTGGATCCTTATGAAGTAAACTTTTACTTCGAAAACAAATTAAAAATCTGTGCTCATGTTTTTGTGACACTTGCTTTCACTGTAACACTCTCATATTTCTTGAATTCAGAGGAAAATCATTTTCTTTTAATTAACATTATAAAAAGGAGATCTGCTCAGGTAGTTATTTCCCTGCACAGCTTGATTGCATTCTGTTTTAGGGATTTGAATCTATCAAGACAAAATGAACCATCTGCTACTCACTTCCGCCAGCTCCGTATCAGTCATGTTTTTGATGATGTCTCCTGGGAAAGTGACAAAGACGGACTTGAGGGGAAGGCTCCATCCATCCTGCATGCCTATCCCCAGAACTAAACACGCAACTAAAGCACAGTATCTCATGATGAGATCTCCTGTGGATTGCTGCAAAATGTAACCAAAAACAATTCTACTGAAAGCCTTGCAGTGAACAAGTGCTCAGTTAGCCGAAAGAAATGAAAAAGCTTGTCCCCTGACGATCAGCTGCGTTTCTCTCTCTTTGTTGGCTTCCCTCTTTGTTTTGACTGGTGGCTCCTGTTGTTGTCTCTCTGCTTTGTGCCGTTGTGGACCTTGTATTTATGCAGAGTAACTTCTTAGTCACTTAACTTCGTACCCACCCACTACCAACCTCAAACCTCCCACTTACATCTTAATAGAGAGCCCTGTTGAAAGGGGCATGGGGAATTTCCAAAATATCTACATTCTACATTTAGCTTTACCTAACAGCTAATGAGCTGTTACCTAATTGTTTTTTTTTTTTTTTCTTGTTTTTTTTTTTTGGACACATTTCAGGCTGTAAGGGTGTGGTGTCTGGTGAACAATGGTAGCGGTGGATAAGGCCAATCATGGCAAATTATTATGGTTGCATTCATGTTATGTTAATAAAATAATGCATGCTGCCAGAAAATCTACACAAATCATTAACTAAATCACAAATTACTGTGAACGCTCTGACAGTTGCTATTATTGCGAGAATTTACATCATAAAAATTGGTGTAAAAAAACTTTCAGGAAATAACCATACAGAGCCTAAATACATTGTTTAGATGCTCAGCGTACATTGTCATCGTCATCTTTTAATTCATGGGAGAAGCTCTCTTGCACATGTTGTAGCTCTACCTGAGTGCAACACATTCATCATGGGACACAGCCAGACACTTCTGTTATTTCTATGCTTAAAGTAGTGTTATACATAGCTAAATAAAGTTTGGTTCCACTTTTTTCATGAATAAAAATTTCCTATTTTTTTTAAAAGTTGGATTCTGAAGAAAATGACAAAAGAAGCCAAAAGAAGATTCTCACAGGGGGAAAAACATGCAACATGTGTTGTTTTATTTTCTAAGATGGTAAACATTTAGATGTCTCTACTTCTTGAGTATGTTTTAAGTGTTCTATGCCAAATAATTTGAGGGGTTGAAGAAATCCCTGTGCATTTAGTTTTGCAATTTGTTGCAGTGTGTTTGTTGGCTTGATTTCCGGGGGACTTCATCATACAGTGTTGCTGATGCAACATGTGGCATCATTCCCAAAACCCAATACATTGGTAATAATGTCTCATTTGGTAATGAGTAACCAACTGTTTCTGTATTTTTCCTTTGAACCTTGGAAGAGGATGACACTTCTCTATATCACTTCCACACCATCTTTTGTCTTAGCTAATCCATGATCTTAAGAGTACCAACTATGTGCAGTAGAGTGTGCGTGATGAGTGTATGTTGATATTTTTGGGTATGTGCGTATCAAGGTGTTGTGGGCAAGGATGTGTCTCAGCCAGGATGTCATGACTCACTGCGTTCCCACGTGAATGGCCAGATCTGCAGATGAGGGACTTACGTAATTGCTCCATTACATTTTCATGTGCAGGAACATAAACAACTCTTTTTAACTGATATGCCGATAAAATACTCCACGTAAAGTAGATTGGGGTATTTCCTATCCAAGCCCCTGTAGAATACTGGTATACTCCCAAATCATACAGGTGGTTGAGACAGACTTACTTAATTTGGAGAATTGTAACGAATTTACAGCACATCCTTTCTCTTGCAGATTCCCTAGTGACTTGCCTTACATGGTAACGGTTAATGGAGCTTACAAATAATTCTATCTGTGGTTTGTTGAGGCGGTGTATTCTTCCTTCCATATTTGAATTTAAGGTTTCCTGATGTGGTTGATATGTTGCATTGTTTGACACATTCACACCCCATTTACTAACTTGTTGTTGACGTGTTTAAGAAATGTTGTCATAGGTTTTCATTTAGCTCTTCTGCTTGTAGTGATTCACAGGGAGCCACAGCCATCGCAATACATGTCTTTCGCAACATTAGATTAGTATGTCTGTCACAGGTACAACAAGGTTTCATGCGCGTTGTCAGTCCTGAGAACACACATACCTCTCCAGATTTTGACAGTTCTCATTTTATATTATCACATTATTTACATGATATTCTTGACAACAAACCCAACACATTATTCCTGGAAGATAGTAAATGTAATTCTGCATGAACTGAAAAATGTCCTTCGCGTGCACTGGGTACAGACATTTATAATAGACATTTGGTTAACACACACACACACACACACGGCTACAGTTTACATATTCATATTCTAAACATATTTTTGTTCAAATGGGTTATGTTTCATTCAGACTAAAGCAGCTTCAAATAATAACCTCAACACAAGCACTCTTTCATTTGATGCAAGGTTATTTCTTTTTATATGTGTCTCCTCAGCAGATCCCCAGGCCTCCTTTGAAAACATCTGTCACTGATTTTACATGGCGTCAAAGCCTTAATGAATATGGCTCCATGTATTTTAACAAATGCCACATTTCATTTGGTTTCGCCACTTTGTTCCCAAAAAGACGTCTGGCACAGAACCTCGAAAAAATACACATTTTTGTGTGGCATTCTTCCCAAAACGTCCCTCAATCACAGCACAGGCTGTTGGCACACACCATGCAGCTGCATGAGGTGGCCAACTGCGTCATCACAGAACTGGATAATATCATAGTAGAGCAGCAAGACCCTCACTGCTCATGTGGGCGGGATCTTTATGATTAGGTTAACCATGGAACAACAGGGCCGTGTAATGCTGAAAAAGCGTCATTTGTCCTGGGGCAGCAAAACAGAGGGAGGCAGAATACTAGAAAACACTCCTGCGTGTCACAGACGTGGTCTGAATGTTGGCATTTTAAGGTCAGTAGCTGCTCAGAGTGAAAACTCTTGATTATCTGTGGAGCTTCACATATGAAGAAGCATTTTCCCATCAAACCTAAACATATTTCATGGCCTGATTTACTTCAGCTCGCCTAGATTTTCCTGTGTGCACTGTACAGTTCAGCACTGTACAGCGACTTTTGCAACTTTATCCTTAATTGTGACCTGCCCTGTTTAGTTTCAAACTGCCTTGTTAAAGTAAACTATTTACATCTTATGATATGGTTCTAGCAGGCAAATAAATGCAAAAATCACTTCCTGTCTGCCACGGTTGATGTGGTTCCTTGTCCAGCTTCCTTGCTCAGCTGTGTCATGTTTTATGACGACTTTGTGTTGACTTTGTGGTGGGACACAGAGACTGTGAAACACACACGGCCGTCACTGTGTTTGATGTGGAGGAAATGTTACCCCATCACCAGGTACTTTACCCAGCTCTGCTGAGTCTGCTGGGCCTTGCATTTATTCTGGGTATTGTTTTGTTTTTATAACCCACTAAACTCTCACAATAATTTATTTTGGCTTTCCCAGAAGTTTGCCTCTGTGTTTCCTTCATTTTTATTTTTGATCATCCTATGTTGTGCACTTCATTTTTACAACAACTATGAAGCCACAGCAGTAAGGAACAGCGTGTCTAATGTATTGTCTCTGAATAATTGTAACCCTTTCTAATTAGTGAAGATACTATGCATGCTTGTGGGTGAACATGGCACACAAAGATCCTTAGAGCCCAGCAAACAAAACAAATGACAAAACCGAAACTGATCAAAACAGGCAATCACCAGGTTGAAAGCCGGGTTGTGCCCTCCAAGCCCTCAAGCGTCGCTCGTAGCAGCTTGTCTGTAATGAGTTATAAGTCAGTGCTATAGGTCCGACAGAAATAATTCCACGAGCAAACTATAATCATTTGCCTTAATGTGAGTCAGTCATCTGAATGGGACCGTAGGAGCACAGGAGGCCACGCATTTGACTCACCTCCCTGGAGCAGCAGACACGGGTGTTACTTCTGCTTCAGCAAATGCTTTTATAAAAATGTAGACTATTAGTCACCCTTGGGAATATTTCTTGCCTGCCATGTCAATATTTGCGCAAGAGTCTAATAAACTTCTGTAAAGATAATGAGACAGAAAAGACACATGCCAAAAATGAAAGAAGTCATACAGATAAGAATATTTTCAACATTTTTAGATGTGTTTTGGCATTTTCAGATGCTGACAGGGCAATAATAGAGAAAATAACGATCCGCATAGTGATGTGTCATCCTGTGTGTCAAAGCCCAGATGAGGAAAATAAAACACTGGGTTAGTTTAAAATAAGTCATTCCAAGACGACCACTCATACTGTGACAAAATCAAACAAATGGACAAAACAAAATGTAGATAATCTGATACTCTTGAAACCTTGACTGAGTCTGAAGACTTCATGTGGTTCACATTAGCAGATGACGACTTTTCTCAATCTGATGCGGGGAAATGAAGTTTCACTGCACTGCCAGGGATCAAAGCACAGTGCCATGTCAACCTGATCAAAGCTGTTTGAAAATGCATGGCATATAAACCATTCCTGCTTATCACTGTTTTCCTTCCCAATGCTCTGGCAGTGAGTCCTTGGCAGCAACCGCAGACCAAAAATGCACACTTCCTCTGCTTCCACGCAGGTACTCCACAGGATTGGGACACAAACTGATGAGCGAAGCAGGATATGACAGAAAGTCTTTTAACCAAAGCAATGCAGGAAAACTAATGTTTTTCACTGACATGGTATGGATACGTACATGATTAGAACATTCTTGGTGTTTTTCTGGGTAATTTGTAGCTTTGAGAAACACACATATCCACACATATAGTTGTGTACGTGGGTCACCCTCGTGAAAACAGGAAATTATGAAGACAGAATTTGAAGATGTACGGTATATATTTGTTGCCGTTTGTTTTTGCAGTTTCTGCCTTCATTAGATAGTGACGGTGGAGAGATGAGAGGAAACGAGGGGAGTGAGAGACGGTTCCCGGCTGAAAGCGAACCAGGGGACACTGCGGTTCATCATTGGCATCTTAACCCCTAGGCCACCACGCCACCCCAGGGAGATATATATTAAATTGATACTGTAGACAATTTGTATGAATTCATGTAATTATATAATATCAGTAAAAGGCAGCAGGCGGGTTTGGCTAAGAGCCATGTAAGAGGGTTGAGTACATCTGCTGAGGCGTGGGCTGCCAGCACAGAAAAAGTCCAGGCAGGCGGAGTTGTGTTGACTTTATGGACAGCCATCTTCACCACCACTGTTAAAAGCTAATTACTGCCAGTCATAAGCAGTGGCCTTTATGGGCGTT